ATCTGTGTGTAAGTTCGTTTAGGAAGCATGGCGCAGCATCTTGTTTACTCGCTCCTCCTTCGCCCACCTGACCCCAGTGTAATGACAGAGTCACAAAGAACAGAGACGAGATCGAGCGCAGATCTGAACAGCCCACCGCGTGTGCTAAGCATACACCTAGTTCGCGTACACCGGACCAGATTTTCACAGAAATAAGAACGGAGCTGTGCGGATCCTGTCTAAGTGGGAATACCATCTTAAAAAAACACACTGAACTATTGTATCTCGAGTCTCCGTCCTGAGTGGCCGATTTAACCCGTCAGTTAGGGGTCTTCTATGCCAAGGTTCTTAAAGAGCCACGGCAGGTTAAAAGTACGTCAGGTTACTTAAAGTGAAAGAAATGCGCCAAAGGCCATGGTGACGGAGTCACAAGAGTCGATCTCATCCTCTTCTCTGCCGGACACCAGTTCACTGTCCGAGCCGGTCAGATATCTGGTGTGGGGCTTGGGTGCAAGTTGCTAGCGCTACTTGAGCCTATGTTTATACATGTCACCTTTACCCTCGCATTCCTATATATTTGCATTGTTTATGGGTGCGCAGCCTGAATGACGCGTTTCGTACCCTTATCTGGCTCCATCAGAAATGCATAGTTTAAAGTAATCAATTGGAAATTACTTACCGGTTGTAAATATGCTTCTGGCACCCACCCCTTCCTACCATCAGGGGTAGAACAAAATATCCATTGCTTCTTCTGGATTAAAAAGGCCACCTTGTCACCACAGGACACACACAAATCAAGAGATTCCTAGGAATGCATAATAAAATAGATACTAACCTTGCCCTTGTAGTCATAAAGAACACAATAATATCCTTTCGGTGCTGGTTGCAGCAGCTTACAAGTCAAAACGGGCGAGGTCGAATGAAAGTTTATTAAAGCATCTATCGACTCAAAAGCTTGGTCAGCGAAGGTGAAGGCCTTTGTTTCTTCTGAATAAGCTATAAAATAGCGCTGGACCCTATTTATGTTTCTAGACAGCTGTTTTTAGGTTAAATGTGGCAGCGTACTTCAGGGATAAGGCAAAACCAGGTCGGGTTGTGCTATCGCGAATCAAGTAGGTGCCCGCAGGCTGGTTTAGAAGTATCTCATTGGCCCTTTCGCGGCTGATCTCTCCAAAATACCCGCTAAACTGAGGTAGAAAGCTTTATAAATGACTACCTTGACTCCGCCGGTATCACAAAATCCATAGGTGAATCTGAACAAAAAGAGCGGGGTGAAGATCAAGTAAATAGGGTGCAGTTACCCTACACAGGTTGAAATCACAATGAAGTTTAATAAAAAGTAGACGGAGCATATATTGCAAAAGTGGGAGACTTTACTAGAAGGATCTTTTGTATGGAAATGTTTAAAAAAATAATATTTCGGTATAAAAGCAACCCATGACACTACATACCCTCGTAGACTATTGCGCAAAAATAAATCCAATTGTGTGAGCAGTAAGTCGACAAAAAGCTTGATAACAGATAGAACTGTTCCTCATTTAATAATTCCATGATATTGCTCTGCTTAGTAGTTTCACCTTAACTCTCCTTAACCGATGATTTTGCTTCGCGAAATACATTCTTTGAAATAACGAAAAATCATACGTGAACTACTTTTAGACAATGTCATATTATGGGTTTTCTGCCTAAAGTGACTTCAGTTTAACATATTCCTTTACAGTTTACACTACCAGTAAACCGCCTTAAAAAGGAAAGGACTGACGAAGATCTAGGCTTTTCCGAAAAAAAGAACTACTGAATAAACATCTAAGTTTTGAGAAAAAACTATCTTGGTCTTGAAATTTAAACATTGAATGTTTCCAAACAGTCCATCCATGCAAGTGCTAACGTACATTAATTTCAGTTAACAGTCGGAAAGCGGTTCTTTCTATGGAACACGACCACCCTCTACTATTGTAAACCTCGGTGCACCGAGGTTTACTATAGTAGAGGGTGATGCAATGCATGCATTGCATCTCACGTTTTGATTTCTACAACAACAATTTCCCTATTGGTGAAAGTGTACAGCTTCATGAGCTAGTTAGAAGTAAGTAACTAAATGTTTTTTATAATGTCATCTAAGAAAAGATATCCGTAAAGGTGAATGGGGACGGTTATCTGAAATTTTATTAATTGGAGTCAGCTGATAAGGCACCTTAAGAAAACAATGGACTCCGACGAGAAGCATGCTTCTGGTGGCTGCCGGATGCCCATATGACTGCAGTCATATGGGCATCCGGCAGCCACCAGATTTAATATGTAGCCAGCAACATTAATTTTCAAAACGTAGTTAACTTATAGAAGAGATTGCAGGACCGTTCCAACCCGCACCGAAAGCTCACAGATCAGTATATACTAGATTATGAATCTAGTAGCGCCGAGAAATACTTGAATCATGGTTCATGGGCCCCTAATCCATAAACAAGTGCAACGATTTGCTCAATCCATATTCCATCCTGAGATCCAATTTGGCCAAAGCAAGTCGTTACTTGAGGAACGGGCAGGCCACCACCTCATCGTACGCCAACACCGGGGAGCC